ATATATATATATGGTTGTATTAACATTCAGCCGCAGTATGTTTAGAGTGATAGATCTGCTGCTGTTGGTTTTAATCTTTTTAATCAGTCTCTTACTTAATCCCGTTCCTACCTGATTTACCCACTAGGTATATTTTGTTCTCAGGCGTGCTCATTTTTTTCATTGAATAAAGAGTTAGTGAATAGGATAGAAAATTCTCCAAGATGGTAATAGCTCACAAATTCAGATGAATTGAACTTTCTCATGGCTCACTCTGAAACATATTTTATCACTGACTCACTGAATGTCCTCGAGTTCCTCGTAGTTCTTTGTCAGGACTATGACCAAACTATGTGAAAAACGATGTAACAAATTACACACATTGTAATACATTTACAATGATCTTAAATTTAAATGCAACACCCCAGAGATTTACTTTCAGGGTGTTGCATTCATTTGCTGCTTCTATAATTCCATTATTTTTTCTATAAGGCATTTTTTTAGGCATTTAGTCCATCTCCTGCTCATGGTGAAATGATTGGCCAAGTTTCCAGGTGCTAATATGTATAAATTAAATAGAATAAATGAAAAATAAAACACTTGGTGAAATCTTTCTGAAAAAAAAAAAAATTTAAAGCAATATTTTTCAACCAAGCATAAAAATATGCCTTTTGGTGCCATAGCAACAACTTACACCATAAATAAAACAAGTAAAATGTTCAAACTGTTGTTCATGTGACCATATCTACACCTTTAAACCAGTTTAGCCAGTTTAGCCTGGTTTATTTTAAAACTAAGCTAGTTATTGTGTGATACTCTAAACTGCTGTTCACTAGCTAAAGTTGATGAGATTCATTCTTTATTTAGGAATAAAAGTTTCGTTAGACTGTTCATGTTTATACAAGACTTTATTATAAAGACACGAATGTACATCTCTCAAATTTCAATGCAATACTAACGTTGCGTGTCTAAATTCACATTTTTAATTTTCTTTCCTCTGCAGAGAACAAATAGCAGAATCTTTCACCTTACAAACAATTGCTGCAATTAAGTCTCCAAAATAAAATACCCACAGTTCCTCAACAAGAATCATGTTGGAAAATGATAGCAGCATCCTGTTTCAGATCTAAGAAAAGCCAACTCAAAAGTCCAGTGTATATTAATCTCAGAGAGGATGTGTTTATCTTCTGAAGAATGATCTGTGTGGCAATCCCAGACTGGACTATAACAAATGTTCCATTGAAGTTTCACTAATAAAGGCCTTCAAAAGGTATAGCGTCAGTTTGTCTTGAATCTTGGAGTAGAAAAATAATCCTGGATGAATCACTCCACTGAAAAGCACACAGTCAAAGTTGAGGCTTCAAATTATATTGATTGGCTCACAGTTAAACTTTTTTCCTTTTTCAAATGTCACTACTTTTACTTTAAAGGATCTCCAAAAATAAACCACCAACAACAAAAAAAAATATACTTCTTTAAAAGCACAGAAGAGAAAACAAAATACAGGAAGTCACAGCACTTGGAAACGCCATGAGGCCTGGTCTTTATAGTCCAAACAGTCGGAGGCGTTGAAGTTGAGTTTCCAGGCTGAAGCAGCTGTCTGCTCTTTGTAATCCAGACAGTCTGTGGAGTTAAAGGCGAGGCTGGGTGCGCTGTATGCCTGGTGGTGGTGCGGTGGGTGGTGGTGATGATGGTGGTGTCCTGACGTCTGGCCAATGTGATGATGTGGGTGTCCTGACATGGAGCTGCTAGTCATTGGGCTGAGCTGGTGAGGGTGGTGCGGGTGGTGGTGGGAATGCATGGGTGCCAAGTATGAGCCGCACTCAACGCCACCAAAATAGGAACCTGATGCTGAAGCCGGGTATCCCTGGCTGTACGCTGCTGCTGTCTGGCTGTAGGAAACAGGATAGGACGACGTTCCACTTGTCGCAGATGATGACACAGAGCGCTGCATGCAGGACGCGCTGGTAGGGGCGGCAGGGTCAGGCAGAGTGGCCGGTGCTGGTGCTGGTGAGATAGGTGCCGGGCTCCAGATGGATGACACTGGAGCGGTGATGGAGGTAGATGTGCTAATAAGACCAGGTCCACTTAGACCAGAGGAGACAGATGAGGAAGAGGAGGCGGATGAAGAGGAAGAGGTGGAGGAGGAGCTGGACACTACTGGCGGAGTGAACTGACCGCTGCTCTCTGAACCAGTGCTCTCTCTGGTTGGAGATGACTTCTTCTTCAGTGGTTTTACCTTGGCACTGTTGCTGCTCTGCTGCTGCTGCCGACACTTGGCTCGTCTGTTCTTAAACCAGACCTGAGAAAGGAGAAGAGGTCAAAAGGTCATCGTCATGCATGCACCAGGTCAGAAATAACAAACTGTAAAACCTGGCTGAAATAGCATGAAGGAAACACTTGCTGTTGCTGTTTGTTATTATACTTCCTCATGTAATCCCACCTTACCTCTTGTACACACTTGCACAATAAATAAATACATAAATTAATTAATTAATCTTTAGAATGTGTAAATATGGGATGTTTTTGGCACTAAAAATATTTCAAATGAAATGAATAAAAATTATGAAAACAAAAACAATTAAAAACAAATCTGTTTCTTACTCATTTTTTCAAACTTGCCAAAGATTTAAGGCATCTAACACTAAGATGTTTATGTAAATGACAAATTGTGGTGAATGCAATGTCCAGTGTTGATGATATTTTAAAAATACCTGATGCATGCCAGCGACATCTTTAACTTTAAACTTTTGTCTGGTGCCTCCTTCAGTAAGTGCTGTGGTGATGTATATAAGTGATGACATGCTTTAGAAAATATTTTGTAAAAAGTGGAAAATGCTGATAAATAAAAGTATTCTAAAATATTTTGATTTTTAAATGTAAATAAATTATAAGTTTTGAAACATTACATCTTGTAAGTCTGATACACTGCTTTCATAATGTTCAAAAGATTGCATTAAACTATATTAACTGCCTAAGAACTCTTTTTATCGCATTTTATTTTAATAAATCCTGTGATGGCGTTTATGGTCACAACTATACGATGAGTATATTAATGTAAAATGGTGTTCTATGACATTGTGGTTTATAACATCAATTTAAAAAACGTTTTTTAAATGCAAATCTCCATAAGAAAATCAACCACTGCAGCTGAAATAATAATACAGATATCTGGGCTTGTCATAGTGTCATATCCCAGATATGCTATAATCCCAGCAGAGGGCTGCTAAAGCCACCCATGGAAAACCTTTCAGAGCCTTCTTTAAAGAAAGCTCACCACATCAAAAGGTGGCCCTGCGTTCTGCCACAGCCCAGCCAAATCCTTCCCTTACACTAAAGACTTTTCTCACAATCATGCAGATGCCTGAGGTTTTAAAAAATCCATCGAAAGGTGCCACGAAATGTAAAACGACAACTTCGGTGCATGGAAGTGCCTTTTCTTGTCCTACATTTAAACATTTAAGTTCCAAACCAGGAAACAGGTTTTGTGTGTGGCTGACCTGCACTCTTGATTCCGGCAAGTTAATTTTCAGCGCCACCTCCTCCCTCATGAAGATATCCGGGTAACGGGTCTTGGCGAACAGCGACTCCAGAATGTCCAGCTGAGTCCTGGTGAAGGTGGTTCGCTCCCTGCGCTGCTTCCGCGGGTTGGCTGAAAACGAAGTGCTTGTTTAGTATTGGACTGAAGTCTATTGAATACCGTATAATACTAGTTTGCTCGTCCCAAATTACAAATTGCCAAACCTCGAGCATATCGCACCTTCATTAAGTCCTTTGCTTTTAATTTTTGGATGCAGAAGTTATATTCCTTTTTAAGATTATATAAATCTTGACATATAAGCATTTCCTCCAATCGAGACAAAGGGGAGTGATAGGCCTGTATGAAATATCATATTAAGGTCGTGCGAAGTACTGCGAAATAAAGCAATGACAAAGTTCGGTCTTGAAGTTTCACTTTTGGATTTCAAAGTAATTTATCTAATAAGAACATTTACCAGATAACAGTGCTCCTTACAAATTCACCATCGAAATTCCAAAATTGTTAAAGGACGATAATATGACGCTTAGCAGGGATCTGTCACAATCATTACACTCACTGCTTAGCAGTACGAAAACGGAAAACAAACCAAACCTCCCATTAGCTTGAAGCAAAACACTTTTTAGGCTATGGCAATTTGGTTATTATTATAAGGATATTATTGGGAATAATTTGGCTGAAACTCATGCGGTAGTCTGCGTTAGGTTCTCACAGCTAACCAGCGTTAACACGGGCTTCAGGGGTCCGGGCCCACCCAGTAATGTCACTAGTAATACACTCGAACTATAAGTCTAATTATTACAGTCTGATAATGAAAAACTTAAACACTCATATCCCAGATATGCCACTGCATATCTGCCACTGCCACCCAGTTTATTCAGTTCACAGTATAGAGTTTCTGCACCGATCGGGGTAACCAGCATGACTGAGGAGGACACTGAGCAGATGGACCTGTGCAGGTCAGAGTCTTTGAAATTAAAAAGAGGTCTTTCATCAGGTTTTACAACTTGTTTTAAAGCACGGTTCAAGCTTGAAAACTGCTAAACAAATAGAAAAAAAGCGTGGAGGAATATTATGCGCGCACTAGTCAGATGTTCTGGTGTCCTGGTGAGTTAACTAATCCACTTCTGCACTTAGAGAAAACGCCTCTCCTGCTTTGCCTCTATAATCTGAGACTGATATTTGTGGACTTTCTAACTGCGGCTCCATTTCTACGTTACAGGCGGCAAATGATAATTTTATAATGCTTTTTCATGGAATAGGAAGGTGAATCGATTCCCTCCCCGTCTCAGTATGTTGCATCTCCAGTTCACGTAGTCGTCAGTTTGGCACCGACCCTGCAGCTCACGGATCCTTACCGGGATATCCCACAGACGGGTGCAGCAGGTCCATGGCAGCTCCGCTCAGGCCCAGCCCGTTCATGCCGTACGGGGCCTGTTTGAGATAGGACATCATGCTAGAAGCAAGCGGAAGGAGAGACCGGAGTCTGGACGGAGAGGGCAGGTGTAGATCTCCCGGTTGTCGAGTGTTCAGCTCCCCTGTGTCCGGCTCTGGTTGTGAAACGCAGATGCGCGACAATTAATACTCATAATAAAAGAAACTTATTGAAAAGAGGTAATTTCGTAAGTGAACACTCAAAGCTTATCACGAAAGCAAAAAAAGTGTTCGCTGAGAAATAAAACTCACAAAAAAACAAACACAAAAAAACAACCAACAAAAAACCACACACGCAGAAACGATGCAAAACTTGACTTTGGGGAGAAGCCTGTCAATAATAACAACCCCAAACATTAATCACAGCCTTTAACACTCTGAAAACACGAAAAACACAAATACAATTTTATGCTGTTAGAAAAAGTATAATAATAATGATCGTCAATTTAAACATTTGATTTTTTATATTTTTATTTTATATTTGGGGCGTTTAAAATCATTTTTGCCCATGAATGTTAATGTATTATGAACAATAATAATCACTGGAAACCAAATTACCCAACAAGAAGCTTTAAAGGAAAACACAAACATATGAACCTTTTCACATATTTGTGCTGGGGAAACCCCCCAACTCCAGCAGTAAAATAAACTGGAACAAAGTGTTACAAAACGCCTGAACTTTGCCTGTGTTGGAAGATAACATCAGTTTAGAGACACCCCCCCCCTCCCCCCCACGCGCCCCAAAAAATGCTTACGGGAAACTGAATTCTTTTTTCTCATAAAGAAAACCTCAAACTCCCGCTAAACTATTAATCTAGTAATCACATTTTTGACTTTTCTTAAACATCCACCAGGATGTTTTAACAGCCCTGTTATCACTCAGATCTTCATTATGATTTCATTAATTCAATAGATCAATAAAATCGATCTGCAGCAACGTAGGTTTGCGTCAGTCCAAATGAACTTTTTTCTCAAGCAGACGTCTTTGCAAGTATCAGAGTCTTAAGTGGTTGCTCACTAGATCTTAATATTATAAATTAAAAAAAGAAGTATTTGCTATTCCTAGCTCATATTTTATTATTTCTTTTGTATTTCTCCAGCAGTTCTTCTGAAAAAAAAAAAAGAATGCGCAAAATGGCACACGTAATCATCTGACACATGTAACATTACTGCTTTTCGCTGAAAATGAGTTCAAATAAGTAACATAACCTAAACTGGGGTAAGAAAATATAACAATAAAGACATGATAAAATACAGAAAGCTTCCATATCAAAATTTACAGGGAATATCCATAATGTTGGATTTGATTCATTTATCCTTTTCTGTAAAACTCGAGTCTACATTAGTGTGGGGCTAAATATTGGCTCAGAATTTCCAAAATCCACTGGGGTCCGTTTGGCAGCACCTGGAAGGTGCCGCGGGCCTCCTGTTGGATCTGAACTGAGGCCTCAAGCGCCAAATAAAGCCCGACTTATTTCCATAACCACAGGAAGCAGACAAACCGCGCAATGTAAATGCTAAACTTGTGTGCAAATGAACTCCATTACAATTTAGATTAGGTCAACAGTGCGACAATTAGCAGAGTGCCCTTATCAGGAAAGTAACCGGTAGGCTGCGGGCTGAAAGTCCACCGACAGAATAGAAAGTAAGACCCCCCCCCCCCAAAAAAACAAACAAACAAAACAAAACAACTTTTAGCCGGAGCGATTGATACGTTTAAAAGTTTTGTGTTGTTAAAGTTGTGAAATATGTCATTGATAAATAATTATATTTTTTGATTGACTGACTTGTTTTTAAACATTGCCTTTTAAAGATAGTTTTCGTTGATAAAACGATTACATATTCAAAATGGAAAAAGAAAGATACGTTCACAAGCGAAGAGAAAAAGAAAAATAGATCATTAAGAACAATTAAAATTAGGAACACATTTCAGTCTCACCTTCTTCGGGCTCCTTATTTTAAAATTCCCTTTAAGTGTCAAAACAGTAAGATCCAAAGTTCAAGAAAAATATCCTCACGAAGCGCAATTTTCTTTTGTTATTTGGCAGAGGTAAGAAAAAAGGTTCGGAAGCTCCACGTGAAAACCACACCTGTCTTCGATCTGTTAAACAAATGCGTACGGAGAAATGAACAAAAACTAAAAAATAGGCCTTATTTCTCTCTTCCGCGAGCGTTTTGTCTCCAGCCGACGCTGACGGATGGAGATTAATGAACGTCTCTAGGGCCCTAGCTTCTATGAGCCCAGAAAGCACACGGGCCTTCTTTCTGCGAGCCAATCACGGCACTCTGCGCCTATACAAGCCACGACAGCGACCAACCAGCCCCCGAGTTTGACACCGAAAAGCCCGCCCCTTGCGAATCTAAGTCACATCACGTGACATGAGTGAAAAGTTCAGGTCAGAAAGTTGGAGAGTGGTTCGGCTGCCATTACAGCGAGAAAACCACGATTCAGGTGCAAAACCTGAGATGGAACCTTGATACAATTAAAGAAACATTTATAATAATAAAAAACATTGATATTTATTAGGCGTAGTGTTTTGAGTGTTAAGTCATTTCCAATATAATTTCACACTTAGGTCGCATTAATATTTACTTCAAAGAATTTCCATCAGATAATAAAAATGGCAGAGCTTTTAAAAACAGTTAAACGAAAGAAAACACAAATAAACAAACTATTAACTATCACATTAGAAAAAAACATTGTAGTGTTTCATTTAAGGTGCAATAATAGAAAAAAATAAACCTGTTTTATTCCGAGTTAATCACAAGCATATCTCAAACAACCTTGTTCTTCTATTGACAACACATCAAGTAAATAACCAAATAATCTATGTTAATGGAGGAACAACCACCCGAGAAAGTCTGCCTTGTGGCCTTGAGGAAAAAAAATGAACAATAATCAAAAAGAATAAAATCGGTATGTTGTTTGGGTAAATGAGTATGAACAAGTTTGTAATCTATCTCATCGCTTTCCCCCGGAAATTGGCTGTTGACGAAGGTGACAAAGCCAGGGATTGATCACTAGTATCAAGATATCAAATGGACGGAATCATTGTTGTGGAGGGTTTTTGTGGGTCTAATCCCAAATTGCAGGAGTATTTTCTTAATACTAAACCCGTAAATCCAGGGATCAAGCAGCTTGAAGAGGTTTGTGTGTGTGTGTGTGTGTGTGTGTGTGTTGGAGGTGGGGGTTAAGTTTGGAGAGGCTCTCATCTGTGGTGTTGGTGCTTATTAAAAGCAAGATGCATAAAACCCCAGGTTATCAGAAAGCATGGAGGAGGCTTTGGCTAGGTTGCTGCACATTTTCCCACCTTGTATATGAAAATCTCACATAGAACCTTCCATGCAGGCAGGGCAGGAACCCCCTAAAATCTTCAGTGTGCAGAGAAGATTTTAGGGGGAGAACACGTGATCCTGGATAACTAAAACACACTATCTGCTATGACTGGGATTTTCCTCAGTTCTTGTCCAGCTGGGACTTTCAGGTAAGCAATACTAAAACTTGATAATACTGAAAAATTGCCTCAGTAAGAGGCAAAACTGTATAAAAATCTTCTAATCTGATGCATTGTCTTAGGTGATGTAAATTTAGGATTGTTTCTCTAATAGTGCATTATTTCCCCAAGACTGTGTCATGTGATAATCTGTAGAAAACTGCTGTGGTAAGTGTGAGTGATCTAGTTCTTACTGAGCTTTGGGTCTTTGAACTGTTTTCTTACGCTACAGGAAATGAGTCTGTACAGCTGATCTGCAGTTTGTCTTTCATATATTTTTCTGGAAATTTCTCAGTATGATGAGAATGTGATTATGTAACACCTCCTCGGGACAATTACATTGAGGAGATGCTACTACAAGAAATGTTTTACATGTACTGACCTATATTGAATTTTCAAAATATCATGTAACTGTCCTTTTTGGATGTGTTATAGACTCTTTTACCAGACAAAGGTATTTTGAGTTTAATTAATTTTTTTTCCCCAAAAACAGACAGCACACAGTAAACAAAGATAAATTTGACTGAGAGCATCATTAGTATTTTTCCCAGACATATTACCAAAAAATATGATTTATTTCATCAGCACAATGATGTGGAAAAATCATATGAAAATCTGATATCGTGATGGCTCAAGCTCAAGAGACCATCTGCAGTTAACACAGCGATTTTATACTGTGAAGTACACAGTTTAAAAAAATCTTTTAAAATTATCTGTTATATTTAAAAGCAGTCAAGCCTTTTTTTTAAAATTTAAAAAAAAAAAATTTTTTTATATCAGAAAATACTACCAATAAATGTAAACATATTTTTGCAATATTGATTTATAGATCATGTCATTTAAGCACGCAGTTTGTATGATACCACAACCCTAAATCTGATAAGAATAGAATAGAATAGAATAGAATGTTAGTTCTATAGATAATAATAGAATGTTAATAGCTGTTACTGTCACTGTTACAAGAACAATAAAAGGCAGTTTGGCATCTCTCCGTGTGAAATACACAATAGGGTAAGTAAGTATTTACATAACAACACAGATAGATTTACATTTACACAAGAAAGATATGTACAACTTATTCATACACCTGCATACATACACATACATACATGTATATATACATGCATATATGCATGCGTATGTACATACTTCCGCATACATGCTTACACACACACACACACACACACACACACACACACACACACACACACACACACACACACATATATATGAGGAGCAGGTGCATTGAGAGGTGCAGTGTGTGATCAGTGATATTGCACCTCGAGTGAGGGGGCTGTTGCTACGGTTATAATAAATACCGTTTGGTGATTACCTTTTAATCTCTTTGGTTATGTGCATATGTAACAGAGAGAATACACATTTTATGATCACCAAATGGGCGTGCACAGGTATGAAAAGATTTATCTGTTTAGAGGTGTCAATCTGTCAAGTTGGACACTGTCACTCTAAGATATACTTTCGTTAGCCATGTATGTGTCAACATTTCTTTTCAGGCCATCGGCATCTCAAGAGTTTTAG